TTTTTTTTTTTAGAAAATGTCCGGTAAATATTTATCACGACCTTTTAATGTGTAACTACCGTACTATAAATGAAATCTAAATATATCAGATGTACAAAAGGTTACATGTAATTTATAGATGCGATATCATAATTCGCTTGTTTAGTGAACATTCAAACTACGATTTAGCAAAACGTAAGGAATAACAAATGTATTTTTAAACTATATAAAGCATGAATTTTAAAGGTATTTAGTTTAAATTTCTTTCGTCAGTTTCACTTGTACACGATACACTGAAAATCAATTAGACACTCTTTTCTTCCTCTTATTTTTTGTTTTCTCGTTATAACTTAAGAAAAAAATAATTAAATGCCTTAAAACTCGCTGTTAAATTAGTTTGAATTTCTCGGGATAGAGAAATCAATGAAATGAATTATTAATGTACGTGTAAATCTACGTCGAATAAATAGTTTAATTTAAAAAAATTATCAATGTTCTCCATAATGTCACTGTTTACATGTACAGTGTACATGTCCGCATCGTCGCATAAACAACAATGATCGATCCACAATACCATTACTGTATTGGAATATACAAGGGGCGGGGCTTACTGGCGGTGAGATTAGAGCGGGGTCTGCTTCACGCATCAGTGCGTAAAGCGGTCCCAGGAAGCGAACACCTGGTTCGCTCTAGCGGACCCAGAGCTGACCCTGAGCGAACGCGGAGTGAACCCGGAGCGCACCCAAAGCGCACCCGGAGCGGTCCCAAAATTTCTGAAAGCGAACCCGAAGCGGACCCCGCGCGAACCCGTGAAGCCAACCCGGGGTCTGCTCCGGTTCGCTCTGGTGTTAGTTTGTGTCCGGTCGGTACTGTATTTGAGCTGTAAAATGTATATAGCACTGCATGTACAGTAAGTTATAGATAAATACTTTTACATTCTTATCACCTATTTAATACGTAAATTTACTCACCCCGAACCCAACCCCCACCCATCCCCTACTTCAATGAATTTTTTTTAGAAAAAAAATTTAATTTACACATTTTGCCAACTGTCTCATTTTGCTTGTGATGTTTCAAGATGTATTCAAATGGGTGTGCATTTGCTGGCAAATAATTTAAAACACCATCTGGATGAACCTCATGGTTTTCCTGTACTAATCACCATGAATCTAAAAAAAAAAATTAATACAATAAAGCCAATACAATAAATGACACAATATAACATTTGCAGACAGACAGACACATAGACATACAGACATTCAACACATACTATTTTACCCTATTTCTTTTTTGCCCATAACTTGAAATTAAGTAAAAATGATGAATTTGCTCTCACTCGAAATCACACTGTTAACATTGGTATTTAAGTTAATTCAACAGAATAGGTAAAAAGCATGTTTTACTAGTACTGACAATAATGGTGCATTCAACAAATTCATGTAATGCAATAGCTAAAAAATGAGAAATAATCAGTTAATGTGCATGTTAACACAATCAATTTAACTACCAGACAGCTTTTCCCAGCTTGATCGCGAAACTGATCTGAAATGATGTATGACACATATGTGACGTGTTGATCATCATGTTCCAAAAACATTAAATTGCTTACTTAAAAATACTAAGGTATACCTCTTGCCTCATGTGTATAAATACAAATGCCCTACACTTATGTACTGCTAAACACTGCACTGAACAGTTTTGATAACTTTCTGCTAAATTTACTTTCACTTTGACCTTGACTTTGATCGAATACCGATCCCGACCTCATTTGTGAATTTTTGTGTATTGAAAATAAACCACAGTGGATCATGTACGTCTACATAATTGCTTTTTTATCAATTTATATAATTATGATTCTGAAAATAAATGATATAAATCGATACATCTAATCTACATGACACATGTGTAAACAATGGATGATACATTATGAGCATGTTGACTGTTGGGGGGGGGGGGGGGCTATAGACACTTTATTACTGTATCAAATTGTTTGAAAATGTGTATCAACAATATCAGAATTGTTTTGTCAATAAATATGAAGAATTGAAAATAATGGAAAGCACCAAATTTGTAATAAATTTAAGATCCATGACATCTTTCACTTAGTTAAAGGCTTCCAAATATGGGTACAGTCCACAAATTCCTTTCCTACGGCGACAATGTTAACGTTTCTTCTCATAGCGATGTCCCTTATTTTCGTTCAGAAATGAGTGATCCCTTAAATCATAGCACATCAACTTGTCTTTCCTTGGTTTAGCTTTCGAGGTGGCATCTCAGATTCGTTCACGGCAAAATGCATTTGTCTGCGGAAACCTGTAAAAATGAAAATGAAATTGGGGAAATTCAGAGTTCTCACTGGCGTTATAATACACAAAATAATTCGGCCGATCTTCTTGATAAATTGCATTTGCCAAGGTGTTTGGTAGAAAAAATACTCCTTATCAACAAGTGTGAGGCTCAGTTTACATGTTGTACATCTGCCCAATTTTTTTCATGCAAGTCAAATTAAAATGTAAAATTCTAGCATATCATCTAGGACTCCATGTGTTACCTCTCGTAAACTCAACTTCAGAAGTACTTTCCTGTGTACATAACAGTTTTTATTTTCATTTTATTTTGACTTGTCTACGTTAACCAATTTCATCTTACTACCATGTTTTATTTAAGGTCCTTTTTGTTTTATCGATTATTACTTTCCATAATAGATTTATAGGTTTTATTGATATATTGTTTTTAAATGTTAGCAAAACCATTGTACAGCGCATAGAAACTATGTGTGATTTTGCGCTTTGTAAATTGATAATAATAATAATAATGATAATAAAGTGTGCAAATTAAGGGACATGTAATTTTTTCCGTACTACTTTCTTCTACCGATTCTAAAATTATTCAGTGGGATGTACCCAATATAATTACATTCAAGGTTTTATGCTTAACCTGTTAATAACCTGTTAATTAAGTGTTATTTAAAAAAGACTCTTGCTATTCAGTTTTAATTAACAATATTTTTTTATTTTTGACTTTAAAGTGCAATTTTTTGGCAGAAATATTATGTGTTCAATTTGTTCTAAAAACGTACATTTAAAATCCTATAATAATTTATCGAAGCTTTTCCATAAGAAACTATGGGAAATAAAATTTCTAGCATTATAAATGATAAATGGAGTATGGATTCTGAACAAATTTACTAAAGTCCTTTTCATACCAAGATATATTTCCTCAATAAACTTATTCCTTGTCAATTCTTTTAGCAAAACGTTTATAACTTTTTTCAAATGCTTTTATTTCTAATTCAACTATATTTATGTAACGAATGCTCAGGTGTAATTCGTAATTGTCGAGCCGAGCTATTGACTATAATTAAGAAATAAGGTATAATTCATAAATTATACTTTATTTCTTTATTATAAACATATATTGGGATATAAATACGGGTTGGTCACGAGATTAAATTCCGAAGGGCTTTATGATAAATTTAATCTCGTACCTACCTGTATTTATAGCCCGATAGATGCTTAAAAACGATACTTTATTATTTATATTTACATTTGTGACTTATTCATACTTTTGCCTGATTGTGACTTTCAACGTATGATATGCGTAACTTTTCAAACCAAACGGAATGCATGTATCCAATGAACGCGCGTCGACCCTTTATGACGTCACAGAGAAATTACGTCAAAAGTTTATAGATACGCACATATATGACCTCTTGACCCTGTACCTGTATTTATACAGTTATAGATACGCATTGCTTTCAGTAGTGTTATATAAAGGAAAAAAATTGCAAATGTAAATATTTTATCATAGAGCTGAAGGATGACATGATTTTATATCGTTTTAATTATTAATGTTTACTTATTTGTCTTGTTATATAAAAAAAATCCACGGAAATTTGGAAACTCTGATAACAAAATTTATCAATGTACTATATGTAATCAAATTATTTTTTTCAGGAAGCTGAAGCCTATTGGAAGGACCTCCGCGAGAAGTTAAACATGTTTAATAAAAACATAGATTATTCAAATGCATTTTGCACTGGATTTGGGGGACCAAATGAAAACCTTCAAGAAATTAAGAACTGCATAATGAAAGTTGTGAAGACACTACCGAACTGGGGAAAGACAATTCCATTGTCCTGGTTCCATATTGAAAATCAGATAAGAAAGCTCAAGAGTTCGAAAATAATCATGTTAGATGAATTACTACAGAAGTGTATTAAAAGTAGAGTTGGCGTTCGAAACAAAAATGATCTAATATCACCACTGCGTTTTTTGCATAATATAGGGGTCATTCTATTCTTTGACGAGGAACGTCTCAGAAACTTCGTAATTTTAGATGTTCAATGGTTTGTTGACGCATTTAAACATGTAATCACAGATGAGTATCACGCAAAACTGGATATACCCCAAGACCTTTATGAAGATTGGAAATCGTTTAATAACAATGGACTGTTATCCAGTTCTCTTTTATTTTCAATCTGGAAAAGGTGTGAACAAGATAACCGTTACAATGCAATGAAAACAGAAATAATTTCTTTAATGGTAAAACTAAATCTTCTCACGACGATTACTCCCCATGTGGATACTACAGGGCACGGTATTTGGTACTGTCCTTGTATGAACAAACAAAAATTTCCAACAACAGAGTTTGAAAATTTGCAGAATTCCTCCCTTCTGTGTTTCAAGTTTCGTTACGTACCAAAAGATCTCTTTCATCGCTTAATTGCTGCTTGTGGCAATCAGTTGAAATGGAGAATTGTTGATATGAAATTTTTGTGCATTTACCAAACTGCAACTGTTTTCTTTGTTGAACAAAGCAAGGTTCTAGTAGGAATGCACAGTACAGATATGATACTTGTCCAGTACCTTGACCTACACAATTCAAAAATGCCTGATTATTTAGGTATTCGTGGAAAAATTGCTAAGCTATTAGATGAACTGACCGAAAAGTTCGTGCATTGTAATTACGAGGTTGGATATTTGTGTCAGAAAACAGTTTTTGGAAAATCAAACATCTCTCTCTCCCATTTCATACCAGAGTCCAAAATGGAAGAAGAAGTCATTAATTGTGCTGAGTGCGGCTTTAACAGAAAACTTGCTGTTAAAGATATTATCTGGGATACACTTAAAAAGGTGACGAAGTCACTATGGGAAATGTTTACTTTTTTAAAAAAATGTATTCAGCTCTAACATAAACGTCATATGTAAATGCATACAATGTAATAAACATATACCTTTACAATTATTACAGAATTTCAATGAAGACGATGATATAATGTGTGCTGTACCAAACACAGGTAACTGTATATATAAAACTGAATAGATTGATTTTTATTATATTTTTGACATAATTTGATAATTTGATTATTTGATTGATTGTTGTTTCGGCACGTTCAAAAAATTTCAATTATATAGAAAGGGGCACCATATACCGATAAATTGTTTACAAGTTTAGAAATTTATCTAGTACTCCGGACATTGGCGCAGTAAGTGTTTTTATCGTTCCAAAGTCCCCAGTGACAAGTGCCCTCAGTTTTTAAAAAGCAGTCTTCCAAAAATCCACATATTTCACTTAAAATGCCGATAGTTTCGAAAAAGTGATGGCACTCTTCAGTTTATTTTCCTGAAAGCGAAAAAAGATATTTATACAAGCTAAAAACAGACGTTGTAATCGTACCCGCCCAGTTCATCTTCTATCTTTGTATGTTTTGTTTGTAACAGACAGAAACGATGTAATCTGCATATTTAGAATCTTGCCAATTACTTTTCTGCGGTCTTAAACATATCAAATAAGATTTAACAAAAAACACCCATATTCTGTTTATATTTATAAAACAACGTTACCAAAACATGGAATTCGCGTTACGATGATCAATATGCTCATTCTAGAAACGGATATTCTTGTCAACCCATTATTTGGTCGAGATTTCGCCATTTCTGACAAATGGGCTGTTTTTAGTATTAAAAAAATAACCGTGCAAAATACCAGAGTCCGAAAAATCATTTAGCTTCTGTATCAAAAAGCTACGGATCATATTAGGTGACAGCCTACATCACGTGATTTGCACAACGGCATAACGATAGCAATTGTCCGTTGAAATCGGAGAGGACTTTCAAGCAAAATCTCCCTTAACGAAGAATTTTGACATTTTCAGTTTTTAGCTTACCTGAGCCGAAGGCTCGAATGAGCTTTTCTGATCACATTTTGTCTGTATTCCGTCTGTCCGTCTGTCCGTCCGTCTGTATGTCTGTCTGTAAACTTTTCAAATTTTCGACTTTTTTTCAAGAACCGTTGGGCCAATTTCAACCAAACTTGCTAAAAAGCATCCTTGGGTAAAGGGGATTCAAGTTTGTTCAAGGGAAGGGCCAAATCCTCATTCAAGTGGAGATAATTGGGAATTGATAAAAATTTAGTGGCATTCTTTAAAAATCTTCTTCTCAAGAACCACTGTGCCAGGAAAGATGAAACTTATGGGAAAACATTCTCAGCTAGATTAAATTCAAGTTTGTTCAAATCATGACCCACAGGGTAAGGGTGGGGGCACTAGGGCCGACCAAAATTTTATATAGAATTATATGGGACAATTCTTTAAAAATCTCCTTCTCAAGAACCACTGTGCAAGGAAAGATGAAACTTATATGGAAGCATCCCTAGGTTGTTTAAATTCAAGTTTGTTCAAATCAGGACCCCCGGGGGTAGGGCGGTGCCAATATGGCCGACCAAAATTTTACATAGAAATAATATAGGATTTTAAAAAAAATCTTCTCAAAACTTGCAAAGCCATAGTTGATCATATTTATTTGGAAGTATCCCTGGGTTATGTACATTCAAGTTTGTTCAAATCACGACCCCAAGGGGTAGGGGTGGGTCAAAAATGGCTGATTAAAGTTTAACATAGATATATATAGGAAAATTCTTCTCTCAAGAATAGTAAAGCCATAATTGATCATATTTATATAGAAGGATCTTCAGGTTTTGTGATTCGTGTTTAATCAAATCATGACCCCTTGGGGTAGGGCGAGGTCAAAATGGCCATCAAAGTTTGACATATAAATATATAGAAAATTCTTTAAAAATCTTCTTCTCAAGAATAGTAAAGTCATGATTGATCACATTTATATGGAAGCATCCTCAGGTAGTGTATATTCAAATTTGTTCAAATTATTGCCGCCAGGAGTAGGGCGGGGCCAAAATGGACGACCAAAGTTTTACATAGTAATATATATATATATATAACATTCTTTAAAGATCTTCTTCTCAAAAATAACAAAGCCATGATTGGTCATGGGACTTCTTTAAGATTTAAAGTTTTCAATTACAAAACAATTTCTACATTTTCCTAAATGTAACCACAGTGATCAGATGATCGATGTGGTCAATGGGCCTCTTGTTTATTGATTCTTATAGAGTTGTTCCTTGTCTCTCATTTGACGTATAACGTGACATATGTTTCTGTGAATAAATGTTTAACATATAGTATTTTCTTTGGACTGGACTGGACTGGAAAGCCAGAGGTCTTGGGTCAGCCCCAATTAAGCAATGGCACTTACCTGTCTCTGTTACACTATCAAAGTAGTTATCTTATAAAAAGGTTTGAAACAGCTCGCTTTGATAATTTTTTTCTTCATATTTTGTGCAGATTTGAACCGTACTAGTACTAGTTTTTATAATTTTGCACAAAACTCCCCATAGATGTACATGTAAGTACATGTAGGCATGTACAATGCGACTTTGGAGGAAAAAAAATATAGAAATGGTTTTTGTTTGTAACATGTATATATATAATTACGTGTAATTGGTAGCAAACTTTAATAATTTGAAATATATGAACATATTTATTTTATATTGCAATTCAACAGATGGAAACAAGATTACTTTCCAAGGAAGATGTAAAATCATAAAATGTTGGCAGTAATTTTTTTTTGGGGGGGGAAATAACCATTATAGCTGAAATAATTCCTTAATATTGAAGGTTAAAATAAAATCATTTAAATGAAAATTTATAGCTATAAAATGTTTAATGTAAACTTACATTCTGTTCTCAGTTCAAAGGGCTGAAGAAGCTCCGGAAACTGCGTAACAGCATGCGACTGCCCAATTCAAAGATTTTATAACTAGCCGACAATATGTTGTTTCAGGAATCCAAAACTTTAAATTCACCTCTTTTCCTTATTTTCTCTTCTCTTGTAGAAAAATCATTCACAAAATAATGGTTTGAATGTTTTTAAAGTGTTCAAACATTATAATAAGTTTTATTACTTATAACATTTTTATCGATGTATCATGATTGCCAGTTTCACCTTTCCCCCGAAAATGTCCATAATCATATGTCCAATATGTTTTATTCTCAATCATAAAATATCTTAGAAAGTGGGACTGTAACGTACAATGAATGCAAACATCCGTTCTGTATATATTAACGACAAAATGTGCACTAAGTATCCAAAGAGCAGACACAGGGAAAGTATGGCGGGGGGGGGGGGGGCAATATTTCCTACATTTTTTAGTGCAACATGAGAAGGTGTTAAACAATAACAAATGATCTGAGAAGCTCAAAAGCCCTTCCTTGAAATATTCATTTTAAATCAACAGCTAAAACCAAATTCCGGAAGAAGTGGCAAAGTCAAATATTCTGTGTCGTAACTATAGATAATTTACTTTTTTTTAATTAAACTTCTCTATTTATCAATATCCTTCGCAAGCTATCAAATATTATGCTTTTACATCTTGCACAGAAAAGTGCAACAAAGAGCAATTAATTTTTTTAACTTACATCATCTACGCAAGTGAAAAAAAATGAATTATATTCTACGGAAGGAAAAAGATTGCATTATATACTTATTTTATTTAATTATGGTTATAATGTGGTATTTTATTGGATAAAGAACTTACTTTTTATTGCATAGAAAATTGGGTTACGTATGTCACAATCACTTGCATAAAAACACATTGATCCGCCTGACGTAACATTTCAATATTGTACAATTGGAACCGTTGAAGTGATTTTTAATGAAGATCAATTTTGTTCATAAATTAAATGAATCAAAACATTTAAATTATAAGGACTGAATAAAGCTATCCAATTTATATGTTCGGTGTAAACTGGGTCTGGACAACGTACATTTTTTTTTAAATATACTCAACACAAAAAGAAATGCATATTCAGATTAAGGATTTCAATCCCTAATGGGACCAAATTCTCTACCCTTAAATATCCGTCAAGTATACAATACTCTGATATTTTATTAAAGCTTCTGTTATTATGTTCCCCAAACGAAGATATAAATATCTTGCAATCTTGGTACAGTTTACGGAAGTTTCGTGGGGTCTAATTTTCGAATTGCCTATTTATGACAACAACGAGTAACTAAGCAGTTTCTTAAAAAATTCCCCCCTTAAAACTTGTAATCTGTTATGCATAACTATACATGTATCACTTGTCAGTGTTGTATCAGGAATATTTTACACTATAAGTTGTGAAGGATGTATAAAAAGCTTTTGCATGCACTGGGCAATGATCTTTTAAACACCATTTACATAAATATGCTGAAAATTGAAAATATTGTATTTTTTTCAGGACTAGATGTTACTGAAAGAAAGGAAGACGACAAAGAAAAGACATACAAGTAAATTCTTGAAATTTAAAATGTAACATAATAGCTAGTAATTAAAAATCCCCCTACATATCATAGTTATTTAGTAGCATGGACTCCGTTATCTTGATATTCTGAAAGAGGAACAAAATCAATAAAAGACGGAGAAGCAAGCATTTCCTGTACACTGTTCACTTCCGCAATTTGCGCCTTGAACTAAAAAATCCGTTGAAATTTCAGAATGTAAATAATGTCCTAACAAGTAATTTAAAAATTGTAATTCAGCATCTTACCTATTAAAATATTGCATTTGCTTATAAAGCCTGAATAGATAATACAACCTGCCACATGGAATCTTTTAAAAGGAGACTGTTGATATCCTTGTTTTATCATTTTTTTTGGTTAATAACCTGGGTAGAGCAATATACCCTTATTTCTACATATGGGATTTATATCTCTAAGTTGATTCGATACGCAAGAGTATGTTCTACGTTCGATCAATTTTTAAATTCACTGGCAGGCAAGCTTTGGGTGTGTCTCAGATGTTCCTGAGCACACGGCAGGTGTGACCGGTCGGCATGGGATGCTCACTCATCAATGGCACCTGATCCCACCTCTGATGTTTCGGAGGTCCGTGTTTGCTCTGGTCTTATTTTGTATATTGTTTAATGTACTTTGAGATTGAATAGTGTTCGTTATCTCCATAACCTTATATTAAAACGCCGCAGTCGCAACCTTTAATGATTAAAAAAATCACCCACACCCAAACCGGGATTTTGACGTCATATCCAGTTAATTTGACTTTTTTTCTGTATAATATTCAATATTTGTTAATCATTCTTTTTATTCATATTTTTTTTTAATCTAGCATATTTGTTTTCTAGGAGATCTTAATTGGTGAGATATTTTGCCGGTGTTATATGAGAGCTGTTCAATAAATAATGTCATCAGCTCGATGGCATACAACATAGAAATCATATAACATTAAACTAGATTTTCTCTTATTATTGAATCTTTAATGAATTCATTACACCTTATGTGACCAGTTTTCATAAAAAATAGTTTCAAAGTGGGTGGGAAGCTGGAAAACAAGGTCTATTCAAGACATTGCATTAAAATGAATAGTAAAGAATAAGTTAGCTGGGGTGAAATTTAAGAATCAAAACTTGACCTTATCAACGTTTGTATGAAATTAAAACAGATACTGAGACTTGAATCCTTTGTTTTAAACCCTCAAATCATATTAACAATAATTTTATAGATGCAATTGACAATAGAGCAAAGACATAAGAAGAACAAAGAATAGCAAGAGCATAAATCCTCTTATAACACAGGTTCAGAATCTCTAATTGTTCCCATTACGCATCATTGTGCTAGGGTTTTAAGAATTACATGCTTTCTTTTGCTTTTTGCATGTGCTTAATTTTTTGATAGAAATTTGAACAAATGTTTTCGTTGCAAATGAGAATTAAAAGAACTTCAAATTTGATGTCAATTAAGGGTTAAATACAAATAAGTATAAAAAGATCAAGAGAGGAAAAGTCAAAATGAGTCAATTTGTTATTTTTACCTAAAATAATTACTAAAGTGTACCAACAGTCTAAAATCTTATTGTAAAGGAGGGAGGGCTGCGGGTAGGGTAGGCAAACTTCTTAAAGTTTTTATATACATATGCATTCCTTCCTTTTTTTAGTACTTATTTGACTATGCTAGAACTAAAAGGTTCGGGGGCCAGCCTTTCAATGAACGTTTCTTTTGTAGAAAGTTATCTGTGCTGAAGAAAGGGCACGCATGCACATTCCTCTCCTTGTGCTACTTATCCATAAGTACATAAAACAGCGTTAGCCGTTTAATTTCTTTTAAGTTTCATATTTTGTGAATAATGCACGAATTAAAAATTATATTAATGGAATACTTCATTGGGGAATAAAGACAAAGAAATTGTACCTATTTGTTTTTAGAAAATATATTGAGAAATAAAAACGCCACCGTGTGTCCTTTGTCACCCCAGCAGTGTCTGTCGTGTGATTTTAAACTCTTTTGACAACCATATAAATTAGGTTTCATGAAAATAAGTCCCCGTGATACTGATAAATAAGTAACTTTAACTGGCATAATGCACCGATGCTTTATTTAGTATTATTATTTTTTTATATAGAGAGTTGCACGGATTACCCGATTTCATGGATACAAATATACCCTTATATCGTGTATTATACGCGATTTCACGTGTACATATAATATCCGATTTCCAGTATTCTCTCCAACCTGATTAATGCAATAATGTATGACATTAAGGGTTGTAATTGCACTATTTAATTTTTTAAATTAGAGAAATGCAGACTGATTTGGGATATTTAAATTTAATAAGAGGGGTTGTCAAAACGTTCGTGGACTGGGGCTATAAAATTAATACTATGTAGTCCGAGCTTACAGGATTTTTAAGGAACATAAAACAACAAAAACAAGAAAACTTTGATGTATTCATCAATTGTCGCCCGGGAAATATATATAAAGTAAACAATGAAATTGAGTCTTGATCATCAAACTGCTTCCATGTGTGTAAAAAGGCATGCGTCTTATTGATGGAGACGATGGTCGAGAATATTTAAAAAAACTTATATAGTCAGATAGAAATCAAACAAAAACGATTCCATTTTAAACGTGATCAAATCCTCAAGTAAATGTTGGCTGCATGAAATAAAAATTGAAGTTAGACACATGCATCACCTATATTCAAAAATGTATTAATTTTCAATTTTACAATATAAAACACGAACTGTGCAGAATACGTTTTTATGCGAGAAGTAAAATTCGATTTTCTAAAAAAAGGACCTGTCGTTTTTTTTTCGAAAGTAAATGATAAGCAATTTATTTATTAAATATGAAAGCATATAAATTTTTACAGATTCACTTTTTGACAGTAAATATATTGAGTATCTATTACTTTATTAACAGAAAAAAACTTCTGATTAACGATCTTTTCAATGTTCAGAAAACCTTTAATTCTAAATAACTACTCCCACCCAAATTCCCATACTACACAAAGACTTAAACTTATATGTATAGAGCAGCCCGGTCCTCCGGGCGGCAATAAAGAAATGCTGAAAATTATAGCTTGATATGTTCATTATTTCCCAAATCCTAATAAAATAAAAAAGACATTATAAAATCTCCCGGCGCCGTCGCTGTTTTGTTTTATGAAGTCCGACAACGACTCAGCTTTTTCTACCTCATACACTTATTTTGATGAGATTCCCTGGAGCTGACGGGGACTTCAGTCCGTCTTGTTTATATGACTTTATAATGTCATGAACAGCGGCTTTCAATGCATACACTATTGCAAATAGATTCATACAATAGTAGAGATTCTCGCTTGATGGGCCAGCATATTTTGGTTTTTGGAGTTCAATATCTACATTACATGATCAACGTCATTTTTTAACGTGATTGATTTTTCACACCTTGACTACAAATCGACATTAACTGTACATTACTTTTCTCTCTTAATCTTTTTTGGCATTAAAAACAAGCAATCTGCATGCATATAATTTCTCCGTAGCCAGTTTAAACATTTTCTAGGTGTTTACCAGTTTTTCTAGGAGCACAACTTTATAGAATGTTGGAAAAGGAAACCCCTCTCACTTTTGTCGTCATTTTCAAGGCAATATTTGTTTGGAAACTCCATGTGAAATGTACGATAAAATTTCTTAGAACTTCCTAAATAGGGTAAAAATTTATTATTTTATGGAACAATAGTGTCCCATCAAATGCATGTACCTGAATAAACGGGATATTTGGATATCAAATGTTCATATCAGAATAGTTTTCTTAAATACACTTAGGTCGAAAAAACGTCGTTTTCTGGGTTGCGCCGTATGGACATACCATTGCTTACAAAAACATTGCTAATTTATTAAAACATAAAATTAATGATTTGTGATTTATTCTATAGATAGAAAAGACGATGATTACTATATATTTTAGAATTCATTCATGTACCTAAAGGTTTTAATTTTATGGCGCTAGTCCACAAACTTTTGATAGCCCCTCGTACCTTACAAAAATCGAAAGTTTGAAAGTTCTGAACAGATTGAATTTTCCAAAATACAATTTTTGTATTTTAAACTTTTCAGATTTAAAAATACCATTTGTTAATAAAGATTACACGAAACAATTCATAGTTCAGAAACATTTTTCGTCCTTTGATTATCTAAAATTAATTTTAAAACGTTTTAGATTCTTCAATCTTGATTGATTAGTATGTGGAAAACAAAAAGACATGGTTATTCATAGAAAAAAAAATTATGAAATTAAATTTTAAAAAAATCATCAATTTGTTCCACAATTAAAGTGTATTGAAACAGTGCATTATAAATTGTTTAAATGCAATTAAGAAAGGAAGATTCATGAGGAAATAAACTGCGAAGCTTCAGGGCGGCATATTTCATGAAGCTGTAACGCGCTTCATGATAAATATGTCGGCTAGAAGCATTGTAGTTCATGCATCTCATGAATTATCCGTTATTTATCTTAACATTGTAATCTGAGGAGCTACTACATATAAGGTCATTCAACTGTCATTTTTAAAGCAAACAGTTTGCACTGTAATTTTACGCCAAATACGGTATTATGACCTAACTCATGCTCATCCATGTTAGTTCATAGGAAAATGAACACTATACTTATTTGTAGAGATTTCAAAGACAAAAAAATATGGAAACGTTAATTTGCTTTTATGAAAAAAAAATATCGAAATCAACGTTCACATTACACATTATTTATGCATATCACTGTGCAATTTGCAAATTAATCCTATAAGAACAACTACTGAAAAAAAATTATTTAGCAATTATGACATGTAGAGGTAACTAATCAAATACGTCATTTAAAATATTTAAATTTTAAATAAAATGTCAATGGAGTATACTATACCAACATGATTTCTCTCAAACGTATTTTTAGAATCAGTGCTGATAATGATGGCAAACAGATGGATGTTATGAATGGAAATACAGAACGACTTGTACGGGAGGAGTGTGATGAAATTACCTCCCAATCTGGAAAAAATGATACATGGAGAATGAGTTGCAACCACTTTATAGGTAATCATTCATTTTGAGTCATTCATTATTTAACATTGAATTTAATATAAAAAAAAATTCTCTCATATTTATTAATTATCATTGAATTTCATATCAAAAACAAAATTCTCTCATACGAAATACTATGGACATTTCATACTACTAAGCATTAGTTTCTAAGGCTCTATTAAAAAAAATCATACTTTCTTTTAAACTGTATTTATTTTTTTCATCCTTTTATGGAGTACCGTTCACGGTAGCCTAGTCGTAGAGCGTTCGCTTCGCGATTGGGAGGCCAAAATTCGATTCTCGTTCGCGGCACCGCGTCAAACCTAAGATGTTAAAAATAGGTAGTGACTGTTCCTTCGCCAAGCGCTCGGTATCAGAAGTGAACATCACGGGTCTTTCGGATATGACCTTAAAAACGTATGTCCCGTGTAACGGTAGGCGCTGGCACGAAGAAGAACATTCACTGCTCAATGGACCTGAGTGCCGAGCATAGGTCTAAATTTTAAGCCCTTCACCGCATACGGTGACGTCTCCTTATGAGTTAAAAATTCTCGAGAGGGGACGTTAAACAATATACAATCAATCAATCATTGGAATACAATTGTCATCTTTTTCTAAGACTTCCGTTAACCTCGAATCATATGAAGATGAATAAGATGAACATTACAGCATGGAAAGTTTTCATTTTCTGGCCTCATATTCATGCTTTTATATCCTTCCAAGTTGAAGGTCGGGTATCCTTAATGTACGAATTAGGGCTACCAAACGTTTATCTTAAGAAGTTTTTCATAGAAAATTTGCATGGAGTGAGAGTAAATCTCAAAAACCGATATCTATTATATAACTCCTCACTGACTTTCCCATGCATTGGTACGACATCCATTTTGAAATACACATGTACCGGTATTTATCATATGTCAGCTTTTTTCCTTAAAAAAACCCTCTAAATCTTCACTGAAAATACAAGCTATTGATATCTGATATCTAGAAATTAACACCCTTCCCCGCAGTCACGCATTTTAACGCATATACCATTTCCTATTTCTAACGCAAAATCACGCATTTACCGTTTCCCCGCAATCACGCATTTTCACGCACTTTAAAAAGTTCATTTAATCTTCAATTTATTACCAAATTCCAACTATTTTATACTTGCTTGAATCTAAAAAAATAAGAAAAGTTTTTTTGTCTAATTAAAATATTATTTCAGAATATTATTTATGCTAAACTTTAGAGAAATTCGTACCCCGCTATAAAGTGCTTGCGGGGAAATGGTAAAGTTATATTTCTATGACGCGAGGATTCAATGTATGTTGCATAGCAATTCTGTAAGTTGTAAAGAGTTAACTCAACTTATTTCTGCACAATAGATTATATTAGCAATTACGGCAAAAGCAAAAGGTGGGATCAGGTGCCATGGAGGAGTAAAAAAAAATCGTTTCACTAGCATTGTGAAAGCATTTCTATGGCAACTTAATGCAACTGCAATCCCTTCACACTTGTTGATCAATACGAGGGCCGTTCAAAAATTACGCGGACTGTGCTATTATTTACTCTTACAGACGTCATATAGTTATGAAATGTCTCAGAAATATGTATCTTAAAGATTCTAATAAATTTTTGGCAAAATTTATGTATTTTAAAAAGATTTTGCGAAAATTATCGGTATGTTGATATCTCCGCTGGAGAGGTACGGCGCACGACAGAAAAATTGAAGCACAAGCATGCGGAATCCAAAATTTAACTCATTAATTTTCTATAATTCGCGATATTTTTCGACAATTTTCTCAAATGTATCTTTAAATTGTTCTATTATTATCCATTTAGATTTCTGACGTGATATCTGAAGTACTAACAGAGATACAATGATTTTTCTCTGATGCGATTCCCGTGAAAACGACTGTGAAAATGATGTCTACTGAATGGACGGCGCACCACACTTTTGTTAAAATATGTGTAATGCTCGAGATATCGGCAACATAGATCCAAAATATGCATTATAAAACATGTAGTAAAATATGGTATTCGTGACATTCGTCCACAAATAGTAAAATGAAATTCTAGACCGTTAGACCTCTGTAAAAAGGCTATACGGGAGGACAGGAAGAAGATTATTGACGAAAACTTGACCCGGACTGTAAAGAACGTGATTGAGAGTCACCAATATCACACTATATCTCATAAATACCTGCAATTTTTGTTTCTAAAACAAAAAAAAAGAATATTCTTTACTTGTTAAATAGATTTTTAGCTCGACAAGAAACGGTGTTTGGATGTAAAATAGGTAAGGTTACTCAAACTGTACAGGTTTTCTTGGGAAAATGTTGAGAAAATGAAAGCTAAATCACATATTTTTTTATAATGCCTGTGACGTCGAAGATTTTGCTGCTCCGTAACTCAATGATATGTCCTGATAAATCACTCAAAATTGATACTAATTCACAACATTTTGATCTGAAATTTTGAAGATCATATAAGTAAAGATTCTTTTATATTATGTGCGACATTTTGGTCGATTATGTCGTCAAATATTTTTTCTGTGCAACAAGTCCGCGTAATTTTTGAACGGCCCTCGTACATTTAATTTGATTTATTTACTAAGTTCTTTATCAAATTAAACATAAAAAGAAATATTTGCAAATCACTGAATTTAAAGCACTGGGATAAAGATATGAATTTTTTTGGGTCAAATAACGTTTGTCTTATGCATAATAAATATTGTCCGATCCGTGATAAACTCTGATTTTTTTCACCAAAAACAATTTTAGCGATAACTTATCCGTGAATATAAAAAAAATTGTACCGAGTTTTAATCACAAATTACATAGTGAGCTTTATTTTGATAATTTTTGGTCGGTAGCCATATTGCTTGAACTTGTTGAAGTACATTTGTGAGGTTGTCTGAATATGAATTGATACTGTTGATTAGAATTAAACAAGTGTTATTAAATGCAAATTATTTTTTCAGATCTAGATAATCGTTTTGAATACACCAACGATAAAATCTGTAAAGGAAGTGCGGAGATCAAATGTCCTCAATGTGGTACATCGTGTGACAAAAGCGAACTTGTTCAGAAATTTTCTATCTCAAATAGTGAAAAGAAAGCAAAGCCCAACATGAACAAGGAATCCCGGTTTAAAGAGAAAGAGGACTTTAAAAACGAAAGAAAAAGTAATACCTGGAAAAAACAGTCACACTCGGAACTGGGACAGGTGTATCCTTATAAGCAAGAAACGTGCAGCTTCTAACGGAGGCGACTGGTGGTATAACTCCTGTACCAACGCTTTTCTTAACGGTCGCTGGTCCCCGGGATTCTGCAATGACTAATAGTAAAAAGATGAAAGAGACTCTTACGATGATCAAATCTTATATCCTATATCCATAGTTGTTCACACATGTACAAGCAAAGTTAATCATAATAATAATTATCATGAATTATAATAAATGATAATTACTTTATCTTGACATAATGATGGTTTGATGTTTTTTTCTATTAACTTATACATTTGTAGATATGATATTATTATGTGTAATGAATTTATTGTTAATTCGAACTACTGTAGATTCCTTATTTTTCGCGAGTACTCATTATCGCGAATGGTTTCTTCAGCGTCAAATCGCGAGAATAATAATTTTCGAATGGAAGGTTGGTCAAGAGATTTTACATAAATTTCAGCACCATAAAAATAAAGGCGAGTAATTTTAATTCGCGTGTGGTGCTTTTCGCGAAATTACGCGATAATTTTTTCCACGCGTATAATTAGGAATTTACAGCATGTATTGTATGTTCTAAAAATAGTGTTATACATGTTACCTTACATCCAAAAACTAGAAAATCCCATTTAACCTTTCTACGTAATCAAATGTTTGTTTTTATTTTATTAATCGTCTTTTTGTTGATAATCATATGATATAATAAAGTATATAAATAACAATATTATTTTAAATCATCCCAGCGAAAGGTCAGATAACTGGAGAGAAGTAGTACAGAATTCTATCAGTCTCTCATCTCTGTACACGTGTGTAATCTAAGGTTTATTTTATATACAAATACTTCTCTCTACTTACACGTGTAATGTTTTTTTTGAATTGTGTGAAAATGCTGCATTTAAACGACAAATCAATGGATGGGAGAACAAAGGATTATACGAGTTATTTTGATGACATTTAGGTTGACAGAGCAACGTCATAAGCGAAAATTAAATTTCACGCTCTTCTTGAGCAGTTTGAAGTTTCATAAGCTTGCTTCAGAAACCTTAACTTTATACATGTATTGATAAATACGTTTGTCTTTTAGTCAAAAATGCTACATTTCACATTATGCAAATGCAAATGTTGGAATTTACGACCCACAATTACGGATATATTACTCTACACTTTTGCATTGGTCTAGAAACCAATTGTCCATTGCTGATTTGAGAAATACTCTTTAACCAACATGTATATATTATCCGCCACCTGCTTCTTTATAATCGTCCATTAAACCTAATCAAATCTTTTTTTTTTTTAATTTGATAAAACTATTGTTGGGGGGGGGGGGGTGGTCACAAGAGAAGCCTATAACGGGAAAGGGAGGCTGATCAAATATACAGGCTGATAAAAGAATATATTTCACATTAGGGAATAAAAGGTATTTCATATATCAATGCTGAAATGAAGAAAAATATACACCCAAAGATTGCCAAAAATAAAATTTGTGAACTGCTCATTATTTACTTTACGAGACCGGTTTCGTTTTCCTCAATGATTAAAATATAAAGCCATAACGCTGGAGTTTCTGTAGTTAGAAGTTGATACCTGTTGCAAAGGCTATTAAATCATAAATGTATCGTAGACAAAAATGTTAAGAGGGATCTCGAAAGAAAAAAGCACATCTGTACATAAGATGGGGGGGGGGGGGGGTTATAAAAATAAAAATATTTGCATTTGATTTATTTTTTCATGAAAACTATAAATTCATAACTTTACCTTATCTTGATGGCAAAAATTGTTTGGTTGTATATTGTTTAACGTCCCTCACGAGAATTTGTCGATAAAGAAACCGAGCATATATCGTTGCAGTTATGAGACAATATATTTCAAAAAAATTGCTTAATTATAAACCATCATAAACTATTTAATGCCCACACAACCCCTCCAAAGGAAATATTATCTTTAAAGAGCGTGGATATTTGCAAACAGTTTCTTGTGTTCAATGGACTGGTTCTATTTAAGTGAATTCTAGTCATGTCATATCTAAAGTCTATTAGTTCTAGTCAATTGATAAGTAAAACCAAGCTCGTGTATTAAGGAATACCATTTCACATGTATGTTCTTATCTTTCTGAAATAAACGTTAGTTTGGGTTGGAATTTTATAAGGCTTTATTCATGGCCTGTGTATGTCGTGTTTATCATGAAGTTGGCATGATTATATGTTCGAAGAATTTTTAAAAGTTTGCCATTTCAACATGTTAGTAATTTTCTCCTTTCAATTCTACAGGTAATACTTTAACAGATAAGATATATTAAGTTACTGTATATCACTTTTTTCGCGAGAACTTATTTTCGCATAATACGCGAGAAGGTATGCTCGCGAAAATTTCATTCTTGCGTATAATAGAATTCCTTAAGATTATATAGAGCAATGACCACGATTCGTGAAAATTTTGTCTCTCGTATAAAGAGTCAATGACTATCTCGCGAAAATAAGGTGTCGCGAAAATTAAGTGATCTACAGTATTAGTACACAATACAATCACGATTTCAAAAAAAATAATAAATTTATACTGCTTTCCCCCAAAATTAAAAATTAACCCCTTCTGATTCGTACATTTATATTGTAACTCTAATCAATAAAATTAAATCTAAAAAAAATGCTGAAGCAATTGTAAAAAGACACGTTCAATTATTTTTTTTCCAGAAGTTAGATATATGAAGCAGAAAATATTATTTTTAAGTTTTTGTAGGCTAAAGACAATTAACAGAATCCATTGACAACATCACTCATATCTTATTATAAAATAATATTTTTTTTACTATTTAAAGCTATAAAATTATAAATGAATGTATCCAAAGAAAATTGTTTTGTTTAAAAAAAAAAACCTATGATACTGTTTATTTTGCACCAAACGTGTTTTTCTGTTCAAATTGACAAAGATGCATATTTTCGATAATGACCCAGAGACCAAGAAATATGCATGAAGTAGAAAACAGGAAGTTTCCCCTTTAACAGAATAATGTACTTACTTATTATTATTATAGTCTATGATTTTAGAACAGAAAAGGGGAAACAGATTTACAAATTTAATATCGTTTTCGTGTAAAAGTATAATGTTATCCATTTGTGAAAAAAAGTACGAAAATTATATTGTCTTGCTTCTTATCACATCAAGAGTGGAAAGTTGTTAAGGTATGCTTTTCGTATTGTAAGTGAGTTATTGCTGTCTGTAATTGAAGTGCGGATCAGATAATGCTATTGTGTGATCTCTTGATACGTACGTATGAAATATTTTGTGTATTTAAGTATTTATACATATATTTTAAGTGAGTGAAAAATCGTGTCTTGTGTTATAAAAATAAGAACATAGCATTTGTATATTGAAAAGTGTTTTGTAGAAAATTATATTTGTATGACTCCAAAGACATATGATGAGGCAAAAGTTTGAAGGTCTTGCCAACCCCGATGGTTTTAAATGTTCTTGGAAATTTAATTTAATATTACAGCTCAAGTAAAATAAACATTTGAAATTTCAAACAAAATTTTAGGAATGTTCATGCTATATTTATGAAGAAAGAAAAGGAAAAATCCACATTTTTTGTAATATAAAATTTACAGTTACCCCAGAAAGTTTCAAAGTAATGATTTTTTGAGTGATTTTATATTGTTTAAAGCCAAATCGGCAATATTGCAGCCATATTTTGGCGGGTCCAGGTAATGTTCGTTCAAAATTACATGTCGGATAAACTAATGTAACCAGTTTTCAAAGGATATAAAAATACAAATGGTGAACTTTATTTATAATATGGCTCCTTGCAGGATAAACACTAAATACAAATAAGTGTCAGCACATGGCAATACTAATAAAAGAAAAACAAATTAACATGCAACAAAATCAACTTTTATTGTGACAATAGTATAGAACCGTAGTAACTATTTTAAGTAATGTTCTTAATAAATCACTAGTGATATCGAGGAAAGTAGAGTCTGGTGATGACAGTTATTTTATCACTGTCCTGTTTTCATTATATGTTTTATTTGTCAAAGACTGATGCTTAAGAAGAAAAGGTGGAATGTTGTAAGTTGGAATATGTAACAAACCTATCAATGTAGTGAATACCGGGGTATACATTAAACGTCGATATTAGACCTAAGCGTGGCATCGAAGATCCTTATGGGAGACCTTCTTTTGAGTAGCAATTTCAATCTATGTTTTATGTGGGTTTAAGGGTGATATTTTACCTTTCCTGAACGTTTTGTGTGTCTCGATGTATACTACTATTCCATGTGGTCAGGAGTAGGTTACATGAATAACAATATCGTATGTTGTTTTTGATTATTTCCACAGATTAGTTATATCTCAGGATTTGATTTTTGATTCTCTGATTTATGAACAAGTGACAAAAATAATGTAAAAAATAAAGTGGCATTTCAGGTTTTAAATCAAAAAAATAAACTCATCTAATATTTCCGAGAGTAAAAATAATAAAATACCCAATTGAAGAGATAATATTTGTTATCTATTAAAATATATCATTTCTAATTGAGAGTGAAACTAGCAAGTTTAATTTTCTATGTAAAGATTTCATATACATGGGATCATATTTAAAATTGTGAATACTAATGTAACATAGATTTATGGATTAGAATTTTTAAAATTCTACCTTTTATCGACAAAAAAAAATGGGATGTCTGGGTAATGGACTTAAATAGCAAATCTAATTAGATGCGTTTATGATAATTGTATCTTACTACGTATTTTTTTCAATAATGATTATGCTTTGTCTTTTATTTTCCACGGTTTTTCCATATAGTAGACTCTCATCATGACAAAACTTCACTCATACTGATGTACGATGTTTTGAAGTGTATCCTTTTTCTCATAATTGGTAATGTTAAGGGGATATAGGAAACACATGATAATAAAGTGTGTTCAAGGGTGCTTGTAATCTGTTATGATTGCTCATCTCAAAGAGGAGAATCCTCGTGATTGTCATGTCTTAGGAATGAGGAGTTTTTTTAACAATGTGAAATGCGATATATTATGAAACAGAATGTTATTTACAGGTGTTAAATAGGCTTTTGATACCAAGGTAAATAATTTTGTCGTGTTTTCATGTTCAGGTTAGGCATATTTTACATCGAGGTGCTTCATTAAATCGTTCTTTTGCAAGGATATATACTAAGTAAATCTTAACCATTGTTGATGACCTACATTCAGTACACGTACTATGCATTCATCACCTGACTGTCCATCGATGGGACCAAACTTCATACAGTACAGAGTGGGTTATACTATGCTTTTTACATAAGTATTTAAGTTCTGTGAGAATAAGGCAGCTGAATAAAAATAAATTCAGTTTGAAAACAGTACCCATTTCTGCATTTTCCGTTGATTGCTCATTGTAAGCATTAACAGTGCTGCAGAAACACTTATGATGATAGACTGTGTTAAAGGGTGCTTGTGATTAGCAATAATAAACCAATATATACAAAATAATGTTTTATGATGCTATCCACTACCAGCATTACTATGAATTTGACCTATGACCCAAGTATCCTGAATATTTTATTATTTTCTGACTGTTCGTTAAAGTTCACTGCTGAGCGGTAAGTGTTGCGGTCGGGAAATATTTAGGGCTATTTTTAACTTCCCATTTAAGGATATATAAACTGCGGATCTTTAAAGAGACGCTTATTTTCAGAGAGTGCGCAAGTAAAAACCATGGCAGGAGTTTTGGCGGCTTCCTTCGTGTACGTCTTGTTCGTTTGTACGGCTAGTTGTCAGCAAATTTATTTAAATGACAAAAATGACTGCGTCTGTAATGATCAGATGATAAAGACATTGAATGAAAAGATTGACTACTTAAAACAAGAAAACGTGAGAAAAATTGAATCCTTAAAACGAGAAAACACGAAAAAGATTGATTCCTTAATAGGAGAAAACGCAAGACAAAATGAGTCCTTCAGACATGAGATTGCTAGACAAATTGATTCCTTAAGACGAGAAAACGCGAGACAAAATGATTCCTTGAGACGAGAAAACGCTAGACAAATTGATTCCTTAAGAAACGCGAGACAAAATGATTCCTTGAGACGACAAAACGCTAGACAAATTGATTCCTTAAGATGAGAAAACGCGAAACAAATTAATTCCTTAAGACGAGAAAATAGGCGGATTACCGCTAATCAAAAGAAAATTCAAGAAGAATTAGATGAGATGGTTAATATTCTAAAGAAAAATGAAAGCAACATCCACGGTTTGAAGAGTAGTATACTGCAAACCATCAAGTCAGGTAACTCTCTTTCTCCCTCTATCTCTCTCTCTCTCACTCTTTCTCTCAGAGTATATTTTACATTACGATTATTATCATATTATGCATTTAAGTTGTTTTTTTTCTTTCAGAGTTCAACATATATAAAGATTGCAAGGACCTCTATAATAATATTAATACAGAATCTGGTGTGTATGAGATCTATCCATTTGGTAATAACAGCAAGGTCAGCGTCTTCTGTGACATGGTGACAGAAGGGGGAGGGTGGACAGTAAGATCTCTCTCTCTCTCTCTCTCTCTCTGTCTCTCTCTCTCTCTCTCTCAACGATCAATTTTAGGTTCTATTTCTTGTAAGTGGAGAGTGGACAGTAAGATTTCTCTCTCTCTCTTTTCTCTTTCTAAATTTCAGTCTATCTCTTTTTCTTTATTCTCTTTCTCTCTCCCCTCTCTCAGTCTCTCTTTTCCCCTCTTTTTCATTCTCTCTCACCATCCCACTTTCTCTTTTTCTATATAATGCCCAACGATAAATTTAAGCTTATATTTCTTTAAAGAATTATAAATGTTTGATTTTAAAATTGATATTAAATCTCTTTTGTGAAGACAGCAAAAAATGGCAATGAATGAACATTGAATAATTCTTTTCTAATCTAATTTACATGAAGGTAATAAAAATCTGACAGTAAATATTATTATATACAAAGTAGAATAACATGTTTAAAATATCATAAATATGAAAACAATATTGAGCAGTTAAAAAATTATAGGAATTTAATATAATTTACGTATATTTTTGTATGTTTATTTTTCATAGTGAAACGTCGCCAAAAAAAAAAAAAAAACTCCACTGCTTTCTTTGATAACCCCCTCATAATTTCTAAATCCTTAGGTTATCCAGAAACGTGTGAGTGGTTCAGTGAGATTCAACTGAACGTTGGCGGAATATAAGGATGGATTTGGTATTACTAACGGATCCTACTGGATCGGTAAACTATAAACAGTTATGGAATGACTCCTACTGGATAGGTAAATTATATACAGTTATGGAATGACTACATAGGACAAGCAAATTATGGTTCCCCGAGGGTTAGGGTTCCAGATGCAGAAAATATTTTCCTACCTCGGGGAACTATGAATTAGCTATTTACATTGTACCCATTCTATAACTGTGTAATACAATACTGTGTGTACAAAACGTTATCTTGTTTTAAGGGATGATAGTTCTTCTTATTATTAACTATTTCAATTAGTATTTTATTTATATCAGTTTAAATGAAATATTTAATTAATGTTGTATACACTAAAATGATTTTCTGTACTTTAATTTTGAAACAGGTACATTTATTGCTGCAAATTTCTGCATACATATACAACTGTGGTTTGCATTCTATGACAACAATCCTGATCATATTTTGCTTTATAAATGCTTATATATAACACGAAAATATCATATTTAAGGGAATGACGTGATACATCAACTTACCAAGGGAGGGAACTCCTCCCTCTACGTCTCCATCACACTGACCAATGGGACAAAGCTCTATGAATTATACAACCAGTTCTCTGTTGCTGACGAAATCAACAAATACATACTTTTTCTTGGCGGACCAGCTGCCGGGGCACTGGGTAGGTAATAGAAAAAGAATGTACGAATGGCGACCGATAAGGAGAGAGTTTAATTTCTTGTGATAGATAGACTAATGCCAACTAATTCGCTGAGAATCAGTCCTACTGTTACGTAATTCATGTAGGGGGTAATGTGTGGATATCAATAATTCGAAAGTATATTTTTCATTGTACATAGAAAATCAAGAGTCCATACTAGGAGAATGTTAGCCAATCAGTAATGAATTGCTAAAAGATTGAACATTTTCACGTCATAAACACTACATGCGTACTTGTACGTAATGTTGTCAGATACATAACTCATACAGAGAAATCAATGAAGGTGTTAAACGATTATTGAATTAAAAAAAAACAACTTGCATTGGAAATGTAAGTACTTAAAGTCGATAACGAGAACTTGTTGTAATTATCCCGATTTTGTGTTGAAGATATGCATAGTAGACTTAACAAAAGCAATACAACAATAAAGAAGAAGTTAATTACGCAAATTCTATCTACGTGTAGTCGTACAAATTTGAAGAATTCTAATGATTAATGTGTTGATAAAATGGAAGAAAAGCTATTGTTTCCTGTACTGTTAACTTAAAGAGATGCAACCCCCCCCCCCAAAAAAAAAAAAAATCAAACCGTTATTTTCTATTGTTATATCAATTTATTGGTTCATGAAATAATTGTTTTGAATATCCCTTCTTTATATGTACGTATACAGGCTTACCAATTTCAAAGTTTAAAAAAGGCTTCACTTGAATGAAATAATAATTAGATTTATTGACGTCACCCGCGTGGCGCGGTGGTTAGAGCCGTGAAGTAAGGAATCTTTACGTCGCGGGTTCCAATCCCACTGTAGGGCGTGCAGACTGGTCCTTCGGATGAGACCGTATAAATCAAGGTCCAGTGTCGTAGTAGATGCTGGCACAAAAAACATAGCGAACTGCTCAATTGCCGTGTAGAACATGTATTATAAAACAAAATTTCTAGTTCTCAACTGGCAAGTGATAGCGTCACCATATGAGTGAAAAATACTCGAGAAGGACGCTTAACTACATACATTCAATCAATCAATCAATCAATCAATCTTTTATTTCTGTTGAGACTCATCATCATGTTTGTATACAGTCAAAAAAGAAATCAAATGACAACTGAAAAACAACGTGAAATATTAAATGAAAACAGTGTTCATCTAATGTAATTGAAAGCAAAGCAATTTAAAGTAATTCAAAAAAAAGTTTTTATTGCTGAATACTATAGATGCTTTAAGCTTTAAATGTTTAGTAAATAATAATGATCTAATCCGAAATAGGTGTTCATGCTATATATTTCTTTGATAATTTTACAGGTGACAGTATGTTAAACAGCGGTTCTTCTTCCAAAGATCTGTCTGGGATGTCCTTCTCCAGACAGAGATAACGACAGGTCTAGTTTTAAAATTCTGCCACTGCCACATGTGTATCATCTTCTCCCTTCAGTTCTTCCGGTAATACTTCAACCGGATAAGACATATTGACTTATTGCGACACAACACAATCAAGATTGATGACTTAGATATGGTTTTCCCTACGATGAAATTATAATAAATGGGTATAAACATAGATCATCAATGCTGTAGTTATTCTTTCTAACTAAAAGGTTTAATTCTGCTCGACAGATATTGAATTGCATAGCAAAATAACCTAACTTGACCCTAACTCACGTGTACACAATAGGTGCAGCCATTATGCTTGAGGCATGCTGGGATGCACAAATCAGGTCAAAATTACTCAGTACTCAAATAGATATCAACATGTTCTTATCTCTAAATCACTTAATACTATCAATTAAAACTATATTCTCTTTAGCATTATAGCTAAAGAAATATTCGTCCTAAGACAATATATACATGTAAAATTACATATGCATCTATAGAACATGACAAAATGTTAGCAACCACATGTTAATTACTGTTAACCTGCTTACTTTGCAGCCTTTTCCACTTATTCATACATTTAGTATTCTTATATCGAGTCACAACATATTCCTTACATAAACTTCATTTTTTTTTCTTGGATAACAGACATAATAAACTGAGAAGTATAGAATATCATCTGAAGAAGAAAGAAGAAGACACACATGTGGCAAAGAAGATTTATCAAAATTGGGGATTCACCGCTTCTGGTCAGAGGAGTCGAAAAATATTAACAGAGTTATCCCGCTTTCTCCAAAAATTAAAATACAACTCCTACTAATTTGTACATATACTGCACTTAACCTGTTATGCAAATTAACACATGTTTCCCACTCTTGCTGATGCCCTGGCATAGTCTCCTACCCAGACAGTGATTCCTTAAATAATGGAAACCAAGGAACACACAGGCAGTAGAAAACCGAAACTTTGCTCTTTAATGAATTATGTATTCACCATGATTTTAGAGCAGATGAAAACGAAAAATTGCACATTTATATATTTTCAATATAAAAATGAAATATAAACCCTTTGGGGAAAAATTGTAGGGAAATGATATTGTGTCTTTTTGTTTAGTTTCCTTTCAGATCAAAAGTGGGAAGTTTTCAGATACGTTTTTCGTAATATGAGTCACTGCTACATTTGTATCTGGATTTATAGTACAGAATCTATAATGCTGTTGTGTGATCTCTTGATAATATCAATTTATTCTATGTAATTACTTTTTTGTACAATTTGTAAGAAACAATGAGAAATATTTAAATATGGGATCAGGTGCAATGGAGGAGTAAGCATCGCCTGTCAACCACTCACATCATCAGTGCTCCTTGTCATGTTTGGGAAAAATCCCGGAAAATCCGTCGACAACTCAGTGCGTAAATGATGACCTAAATATTAAGACATTGTGGCTTTCGGTTTATTTCTGTTTTCATGTGGAAATTAAGTTCATAAAGTACGTGTATATTATCAATATTCTATAACTTTTCAATATCCAAAACATATTTATGTATTCCGACGCAGAGTAAATAGGGAGAGCCAGTTTTAGTTCACATCATTTCCCATACGAAAAAAAAACACTATTATAATTCAATTGGAGTATAAACTGACCCTCAATTTCAATTAACCACTAGTTGAATTTTTGCCATGCAAATGAGGGAGATTTCAGCTCATTTGCATAGAGTGGACTACTTTTGAATGCTCCTGTATATTCGTTGCAGTTGACTGCTAGTGGAATACTCCTCTATTTTCTTTGCCGTTGATCAATAGTTGAATACTCCTTTATTTCTTATTTCTGTGATTGACAGGGGAAGCCCTCCCTCTTGGCACCTGATCCTACCTCTGATGTCCGTGATTGACAGGGGAAGCTCACTCTCTTTTGGCACCTGATCCTACCTCTGATGTCTGAGATTGACAGGGGAAGCCCTCCCTCTTGGCACCTGATCCTACCTCTGATGTCCGAGATTGACAGGGGATACTCACTCCCTCTTGGCACCTGATCTAATCTCTGATGTCCGAGATTGACAGGGGATGCTCTCACCCTCTGCACCTGATTCTACCTCTGATGTCTGAGATAGACAGGGGAAGCTCACTCCCTCTTGGCACTTGATCCTACCTCTGATGTCTGAGATTGACAGGGGATGCTCACTTCCTCTTGGCACTTGATCCTACCTCTGATGTCCGTGATTGACAAGGGATGCTCACTCCCTATTGGCACCTGATCCTACCTCTGATGTTTGTTTAGGTCCGCGTTTGTCCTGTTTCCTGTGTCCTGATTGGTGTTGCGTTTAAATAGATTTTTTGAGCATTATTACTACAGAGGAATATTGATGCTCTCAACATGCAAGAAATATTTTTGGTGGCGTTTAACATAATGATGTAGACGTGCGACTTTTTTTTTATATAAACATGCAATATGATTATTGTGTTGACGAGCGGGTTATCAATATTTTTTCAAGAAAATAAATTGGATTCTAAAATTACTGACAAACGCCTTTATGTGATATTATAAAAGAAATATCTAGCAAATTATGGTGACATTCAACGTATTGATTGTACCATGCAAGATACATTTGAAGATATGCAACCTATTCCCGTAAACAAGCTATATAATTATATGATATGCGAATTGATCTTGATGACATGAGAGATATGTATTTTAACATTCTTATCTTGCATGTCTACGTGAATATCATTAATGTCAAAAAATTAACTGGCATATAGACATAAAAGTTGCATGTTGATAAATATAAGTTGCAGGTTTACATAATTTCTTGCATGCTAATTTAAATATGTCACATGTCAACAAAATGTGATATCTCTTGCATGTATGATGTCAGATACTGGGGTGAGTAAGAAAATAAAAATTCCATTGGTAATTTGCATTTTTACATACCGGTAATTCTCTTACACGCAGAAAAAAATATTGCTTAGTGGCCAATATTTCTTGCATATTTACGTATTTGGTATCTTCATTATCTAAAATCAGTTGAGAAAAGTTTATTCATTAAGTCAATGTACGTGAAAATTAGCTAAACGAAAATAGTGCGTTTGCCTGCTCAGCAACTTAAGCATGTTAAGTGCCCTCAATATTCACACTAAACATTAGAAAACTGATCGTTAGCACAGATGTACAGTTTCCTGTCCAAGTTGATTATATACATCTCTATTAAAACCACTTAAATGTCGTACTTATTTAATGCACATATTATTCACATTTTCTAATATAAAGTAATATAATGTAAAAGCATAAAATTAAAATAGACGACAAGGAAGAAGAAATATGAATGGACTTCCTGTTCTCTACATCTTTATCATAAATAAGTGTATATACACTTATTTATGATAAAGATGTAGAGAACAGGAAGTCCATTCTTCAGTAGATCAAAGAATGATTACTAAGGGTGAAGTAGATTTCCGAAACAAAATTTGAAAGATAATTTTTACACATGTAATGTATTTCCAAGTAAAAGATAATGCAACCCGTCAGTGATTAAACAAACTAATTATATTAATTATTAAATATTAAATGAAAACAGTGTTCATCTACTGTAATTGAAAGCAATGCAATTTTAAGTAATTAAAAAAAAACATTTTTTTGTTGTTGAATACTATAGATGCTTTAAGCTTTAAATGTTTAGTAAATAATAATGATCTAATCTGAAATAGGTATTCATGTTATATTTGTCTTTGATAATTTTACAGGAGACTCTATGTTACACACTGGTAATTATGACTTCGATCTGTCTGGGATGTCATTCAGTACCCCGGACAGAGATAACGACGGGTCTAGAGGTGGTAACTGTGCTGCTGCCAGTAACCATAGAGGAGGCTGGTGGTTCAATGCCTGTCACCGAGCCTTCCTTAACGGTCCATGGTCCCCGGAGTTCTGGAACTACCCATGGTATCCTACAGTGACTGATGGTAACAAGATAAAAGAAACCCTCATGATGATCAAACATAACTGACTTTTTACATCTTTATAGCCATACTTGTTCACGCATGATATGAAAAGTTATATACTTTTATTATAGATGATAAAAACTTTATTTTTAGACATAATAGTGGTCTCTACAGTATATACAATGTAATGAATATATAATGTTATTATGCGTAATGAATTTATTGAAAAGTCCTTATGTGTATTATGTTTAAGTTAGTGTTGTACATGTAACATTCATTACTAAAAACAAGAAAATCGCATTTAGTATTGTTACATAATAAAAGTTTTGTTTTTATTTTATCAATTGTAGTTTTATAATTAATAGTCTAATGATATAAAGTATGTTAACAACAAAGACAATGTTTTTTTTTAAATACATTCCTTGAATTTCAACTGATCCCCGTGAAAGGTCACATAACTGGGTAGAAGTAGTATCCATCAGTCTATCATCTCTGTACATGTGTGTTGATAATTAGAATTTCATTCTGTTACAGTTTATAAATGATGTAGAGATTATAATTACGTAAATTTTATTTTCAAACACCAATATTTCTCGTTACTTGTACTGTATTCTGTATAAACACCAATATTACTCGTTACTTGTTCGTGTATTTTATATATACAGTGTGTGGAAATGGCTGCATGTAATGCCAAACCAATGAATGGGAAAACAAAGTATTATATGATGACTTTTTATGACATTAAAGTTGAAGGCCTTCACAGAGTAACGTCATAAGCGAAAATCAAATTTCCCGCTCTTCTTGAGCAGTTTGAAGTTTTATAAGCCACCTTTAGAAACCTTAACGTCACACTGAAATATATTTGAGTCTTTTAGACAAAAATGCTACAGATCCCTTGAAGCAAATGTTGTTCATTTTACGGCGCTAAATTTTGCGCACGGATAGGGATATATAAAATGCATTATTACTGTCTTGAAATGTAGGCGATATTTGGGCGAGGGTAAGAAAACGTGATAGAGGGCGAGGCTTGCGTTTTCGACACTAATCCCAAATATCGCTTATATTTCAAGACAGTTATCATGTATTTTGTTTATCCTGCAACAAAATTTTACATTTGAACGTCCAAAACAAGCTTTTTCCGACTGATTTAGGCACATCTCTGCAGTTGAAACTACGAAGCCATGGCGTAAACATTGCAATAAATGTAACATAACAATGCTTTTAGAACGTCGGAAAACATGCGCGATGCTTTATTAGGGCAGTGACCGGATAAAGCTTTGGTTTATTAGGATAGCTTTATTAGGTCAGTGCAAGGGGTAGTTGCAGGATAGTTTTTTTTTCTACTTCCCTGCATTATTTTGTTAACCACCTGTCCTTTCCTTATTTGAGAAATACTCTTTAACAACCTGTATGTTATATCTACCCTCTGACCCTTTATAATCGTCCATTAAACCTTATTAAATTGTTTTTTATTGATAAAAACATTTTTTTGGGGGGGGGGGATGGGGGTCACAAGAGAAGCCTATAAAGGGGTTGGAGGCGGATACAAAATACAGGTTGATAAAAGAATATAGCTTACATTTGGGAATGAAAGGTAATTGATCGTTTAATGCTGAAATGAAGAAAAATATGTCCCTAAAGTTGGCAAAAAACGTCGTTAAATGCTCAATACTTACTTTAGGAGATCGGTTGCGTTTTCATCAATAGCTACATTGTAAAATATAAAACTTAACGCTACGGTTTCTGTAGCTAGAAGTAGATACATGTTGCAAGGCTCTTAAATTATAAATGTATTGTAGACAAAATTGATCAGAGAATTCAGAAAGAAAAAAAGGTACAGTTTGAATGCTGGAGGTATAAAAATAGAAATATTAGCATTTATTTTTTTTTATATCTTTCAAAAATATCCTTAATTATAACTGATCTTATAAATTTTTAATGCCCCCACCCCCATCCTCCCAAGGATTTTTTTTTAAAGCGTAAATATTTACAAACTGTTACCTGCGTTCAATGGAATGGCTGTATTGTACTGAATTCTAGTCATGTCATATCTAATGTCTATTAGTTGTAGTCAACTGATAAGTAAAACAAGCTCGTGTATTAAGGAAATAATGCCATTTTGTGTTCTAATGTTACTGATATAAATGTTAATATTGGAGTATTATAAGACTTTATTCATAGTCTGAGTACGTCTTGCTTAACATTAAGTTAGCATGATTACAAAAAAAAGTATATGTCTGACGAAGTGTTAACATACTGCCATTGCCACATGTGTATCATCTTCTCCCTTCAGTTCTTCAGGTAATACTTTAACCGGATAATACATATTGACTTATTGCGACACAATGCAATTAAGATTGATGAATTAGATATGGTTTTCCTTAGAACGAAATTATTATACATGGACATACACATAGATCATCAATGCTGTAGTTATTCTTTCTAACTAATAGGTTTAATCTTGCTTGACAGAAATTGAATGACATACCGGTAATAAAATAACCTAACTTGACCCGAACTCACGTGTAAACATTGGGTGCAACCATTACGCGTGAGGCATGCTGGGATGCACAAATTAGGTCAAAATTACTCAGTAATCAAATAAATATCAACATGTTCTTGTCTCTAAATCACTTTATACTATTAAATAAAACTATATTCTCTATAGCATTATAACTAAAGAAATATTCGTCCTAAGACAATATATACATGTAAAAACACATGCATCTTCTATAAAGCATGACAGCACCTGAGCACCCACATGGTAGCTACTGTTGACCTGCTCACTATACACACACATGTAAGCAACTGTTTATTTGCTCACTTTACAGCCTGTAACATTAATTTATACATTTAACATTCTCATATCGAGTCACAACATATTCCTAACATAAACTTTAATCTCGTTCCATAGATAAAATAATCTGTAAGGAAGAATGTGGAGATAACGAACGTATTCAATATCAAAGTCCATAAAACAAAACAAAAGAAGTGCAGATCAAATACAGAAACATCAGAGTCGATATAGGTTTAATCTTGCTCAAAAAAAAAAAATGAATTACATCATAAAATAACCTAATTGTAATACTTTTCTTATGTAAATACTGGGCGCAGCCATTGCGCTTGAGGTTAGGGTGCACAATTAAGGTCAAAATTACTCAGTTATCAAATAAATATCAACACTTTTTTTAAATTCCAAATCACTTAATACAATCAATTAAATCTATATTCTCTGTCACTTTATACCTAAAGAGCTATTCGTCCTAAGAGAATATATACATGTAAATACATATGAATCTATAAAAAATGACAATACTTGTTTACCCACATGTTAGCAACTGTTTATTTGCTCACTTTACAGCCTGTAACACTAATTCACACATTTAGCATTCTCATATCGAGTCAAAACATGTTCCTAACATAAAGAATTCAATCCACAAAATGCCTTATTTGGCCTAGCACATATGTAAATTTTGAAAAGGGCATTAGAAAATATGTTTTGGGTTATTATCAACCTAAAACATTGACAAATTTCACATGTGCAACAATTTCGTCAAAACCAGATGTTTCGATGTCAAACTAAATTCCAAAACGCAGCATGGTTCGAGGTTTTGCGGAAAATGGCTCAAATTTTACACAATAAATCGTGAATTTCACATACAGCACTGTCGTTACCGCAAAATATTGAAACAGAAAAATAATCATAACTGTTCGACAAATAATTTCCAATGAAAATATTTTGCGGTAACGAGTGTGCTCATGTTGAAAAAAAATAAAATAAAATGTCAACGCGTGTAAAAAAGCTATGATCAAGAACCACCACATTTGTCTTTGTCTATTAGGCAAACTTTAAAGGATCAATTAGAAAGGTGTATAATATTGATTATGTAAGTGGATTGACACTCATATCACACAAATAAGAAAATGTCTGGAATATGATGGCTTCAGTCTAAAAACATATCCGTTTAAAATGCCGATTTATCGACAATTCTTTTTCCGAAATTAGATTGATTTACAGACACGTACATCTTTCAACTTACTATATGTATGACTATAGCAAATATAAACTTTCATGTCAATTATTATGCTTGTTTATGACTGTGACGAGTATAAGAAATTATAGTTAAATCTAAACTTTGTTATCAAGAAGCGGTAATTTTTTAGAGTGATTCATTGGTAGGTCAAAGGACATCAAATAAATGGATAACACAAATGGTGATAGAAAAAAGCAGTCAATTGTTCATTGAAGGCAATAAATGTGGTAAAGAATCTAAAAATTACATTTCCGAAATCAAAGAAAAACAAACTTATGAGTTCACAGTTGTACATGACGTTACTAGGTGTACGTCATTTGTGACGTCATAATAGATGCAGTCATTGGAAATCAGTGGCAGTAGCTTTCTGTCGCTTTGTTAAATTCATTTAATTGAAACGGGAAATTATCTATTATTAAAAAATTTAACAACTCTGTAAACTGGATTCAACGTATCTTCTAATTCGTGTGTGTGTTAACATAAAATGCACATGTTCGCTTTAACAAATCCGCACGTCGATGCATACAATACGTATAAGAATCACATGTAGCAGCAATATATATTAATCAGGGTTTTTTTTATTTCAAATACTAAAACATTTATTTCACTACATAAAACCCGCATATATAATTTTTTATGCACTTGTATAAAGTGAAAAATAATTTTTAGCTTTCTTCAAAAGTATTATGAAGAAGTGGTTTCAATTTTGTTTTTAGAAACAAGAGCTGAACTTAAAATATATGCCCCTAGATAGTGTTTATCATTATATATAAAAGAACATCAAATCAAAAATCCTTCTTTGACCACTATATAGTGTTTCTCATATCAAATATTGATTATTCTGTATTTTATTTTTTTTGCATGTAGATTAACATTCAAAATTGCCCCTGCATTGTTATTTATGGCTTAAGATGGGGGGGGGGGGGAGGTGGAGTAGGGGGACTATGTCTTCCTGTGCATTTAATATCTGAAAATCGCTGGATCCGCTACTACGAAGATTAGTAGTTTATCACTATACTATTAGAAAAGATCACGGGGGGGGGGGGTTTCATGTTTTGACATAAATTATACGTTAATTACATACAATTATATGAGCATTATTGTGAACTACAGGACTTGTCTAAAATATACTTCAAAATTATATAATTTACTGTAACATTTTCTTAAAAAAATTATTTTTAAAAGATAGAACTTTGTATATGTTCGTCCTTTGTATAACACCCCCCCCCCCTTTCTTTTCTGAAATTGCTTTCTACGACCATAAATGTGTTTTCTATTTCAAGAAAAACTAAGACCATTTTACACTTTCCTCTTATAAATGCTGTCTATAATAACGTCTTATTAAGGAGCCTTTTTCGGGTAAAATCAATCTTTCCCTGTAAGTAATAAATGTAGTAAAATTAATGTTATTGTCTGTACTTGTATTTCACATTTTATTTTGACACGTATTTATAAGAATTACATACGCATGGAAATCATAATGTGAAAATGAAATGGAAAGTTATAAACGATAAGCTAGCAATGCATAATTAAAAAAAAAAAACAAGAGGCCCAGGGGCCACAGCGCTCACTTGAGCACATCAGACTTGAATTTACTCCCACCCCCAACCCCCCTCCAGGCGTTCATCATTTGAACAAACTAGAATCTACACTACCCGAGAATGATTCCATATAAATATCA